AGGGGGAACAGGGGGTTGGGGGAGAGCATCAGGAAAAGTAGCTAATACATGCTGGGCTTCATACCTAGGTGATGGGTTGATAGGTGTAGCAAACCACCATGGCACATGTTTACCTGTGTAACAAGCCTGCACATTCTGTACACGTACTCCAGAACCAAAAAATTAAAAAGAAAAGAGAGATAAAATTTGGAAAAGAGTTTAGGGAGGATGAGGCAAAAGGATCACTTGAGTCCAGAGAATCACTTAAGGCCAGGAGTTTGAGTCTAGCCTGGGCAACATAGCTAGATCTCGTCTCATAAAAAAATTAAAGGGTTTACATCTGGCATGGCCTATAGGCAAGGAAGAAAATCCATACAGATAAGGATGCCCAAAGAAGTTGTCAGTAGCATTTGTGTCTATTTTGAAGTGTTGAGTAAATTCGGTCTTTTCCCCTTAAGACTATGTATGTTAAAGAATAATTCTTAGATTTGATAAAAGAGTGCTATGTGTGGTAATACTAACTACTTAAATGTTAAAAATTGATAATTTGAAAGTTTTTTCCCTGGAGATACTAATTCAGATCTACTGTAGTAAATCTGAGTATACTATATTTTTCTATAGTATAGTCATCCCTCACTGTCTGTGAAATTATTCTCAGACCTCCCTTGGAAACCAAAATCCAAGGATGCTCCAGTCTCTGATATAAAATATAAAATGATGTAGTATTTGCATATAACCTATGCATATCCTCTTGTATACTTGAAGTCATGTCTAGGTTACTTATAATACATAGTACAATATAAATGCTCTGTAAATGGTTGTTATACTACTGTTGTGTAGGGAATGATGTAAGAGAGAAGTCTGTACACGGTCAGTACTGATACATTTTTTTTCTTTTCAAGTCTTGCTCTTTCACCTAGCCCAGGCTGGAGTGCAGTGGCATGGTCTTGGCTTTCTGCTGTCTCAACCTCTTGGGCTTAAGCGATCCTCCCACCTCAGCCTCCCCAGTAGCTGAGACTACAGAAATGTGCCACCACGCCTAGCTAATTTTTGTATTTTTTGTAGAGACAGGGTTTTGCCATGTTGCCCAGTCTGGTCTTGAGCTCCTGGCCTCAAGTGATCTGCCTGCTTCAGCTCCCAAAGTGCTTGGGATTGTAAGTGTGAGCAACTGCACCTGGCGCCAGATGCACTTTTAAAAAATGTTTTTAATTTGCAGTTGGCTTAATCCACAAATGCAGATGCGGAGTGCTGACTGTGTATATACTGTATTTTTCCTAGATGCACGAATTTGCATATACCGATATGCCATGAATAAAGTGGGACCATGGTGAAAAAGGAGCATTTGATAAGTATCCTGGAAAGAAGGCCCAAAATTTAAAGGAAAAACTTGTCAATAATTATTTATTTAACGTCTGTTGAGTGCTAACTAGGACAAAGCCTCACAGAACATTCACTTTTGTTTGACCTCATCTAGAGAAGACTTGCCAGTCACATTATGTTTTCAGTTAAAGCAGTGTATTACTAAGGATAAGGATTATGGTCATTAAAATTTTTTATCGGTGTCTTGTCTGAATATAGAGTAAATGAAGAGTGCTTTGCACTGACTTGACATATATCAATTAACTCTTCCACAGATATCTTCACAGTCATCACTTCTTGGAGTTGGTTACCTTGCTTCTGTCAATTCCAGTAACAAGTGCTCACCCTGGTGTGCTGCAAGCCACAAAAGATGTTTTGAAGTTTCTTGCACAGTCGCAGAAGGGTCTTCTTTTTTTTATGTCGGAATATGAAGCAACAAATTTATTGATCCGAGCTCTGTGTCACCTTTATGATCAAGATGAGGAGGAAGGTCTCCAATCTGATGGTGTTATTGATGATGCATTTGCCTTGTGGCTACAGGACTCAACACAGACATTGCAATGTATTACAGAACTGTTCAGCCATTTTCAGCGTTGTACAGCCAGTGAAGAAACTGACCATTCGGATCTCTTGGGAACCCTGCACAATCTTTATTTGATTACTTTTAATCCTGTGGGAAGATCAGCTGTTGGCCATGTTTTTAGTCTGGAGAAAAATCTCCAAAGTCTTATTACTTTAATGGAGTACTATTCCAAAGAAGCCTTAGGGTAATTTCCTACTTACTCCTTAAAATTTTCTGTGATGTTAGAAAATCAGATTAACTGATGGTCTAGTTTCTTAAAAGAAAGTGTTGTTTTGAGAGGGAAAAAACTATAGTTTTGATGTAACGCATAACTTGTTAATTAAAGGTTAGAGTGACAGAAATCTCTAAAATAAAAGATGTGGCTATAAAGTAATACAATGGACTCTTTAGCACCTTCCTTCAGTTAACCCATGGTGTTAAAGATTGCAACTGTAGTACCATCTGCTGTTTTATGTAGAGGGGAATTCTAAGGCACAGGAATATGTACCTTAAGGTATATATTCCTTTTATTCCTCTTACACTCTCTTGCTGGCTCCTGCCCTTGCATTCTAAACCATGCTCTGGATTCAGAATTGCTTTGACTAGGTGGGTAAATTGAGAATTATAATGGTTTGAAGAGCCTTCTTGGTAGGGCAGAGGGTTTTAGTGTATGAGAAGAGAGACGTGCCTTATTTCTGGTTCATGTCACACAAGGCAAATGGCATCCAGATAACTGCCCTCACGGTGAGGACTTGGTATATAATTCCTTGAGTGATGGATCTTTTGTGGGGTGCTTACAAAAAGCAAACAGCAGTGACTTCCATGCCTAGCTATATCTTAACAGGTTTATAGTGGAATACTGAGTATTGAAGGCAGGTAATCATACTCCTTCCTATTTATCCAGATTGGACAAATATTTTGAAGGAGACTAATGAAGTATACTTCCTAATCTTTCATTGCTAATGAAGTATACTTGTTAATATTTCATTGTTTTTTGATCTTATTTCTTAATAGAATTTTACTTTCCATAGTGATATGTATGCTTTTTTATATACTTTTAAGTAATGGTTTCAGGTGCATTGGATATGAACTGTAAAATCTGATTTCTTGTCTTCAGTCATGTTTTATTGTAAATTTCCTTGATCTCTTTAAAGCCAAGTAGAAGAAAATATTTTAAAAATTGTTCCTAAAAAATTGTTTTTGTATCCAAAACTTAAAAACCTTATTTTGTTTCAGTGATTCCAAATCTAAGAAGTCAGTAGCTTATAATTATGCATGTATACTTATTTTGGTGGTGGTTCAGTCTTCCAGTGATGTTCAAATGCTAGAACAACATGCAGCATCTCTCTTGAAGCTTTGTAAAGCAGATGAAAATAATGCTAAATTGCAAGGTATGGTATCTAAGTTATTTTAAGCATTTGTAATATGTGAAGGAACAAACCTTTGAATATCTGTGATTAGTCCTTCATCATGTTTTGATAATATACATAGTAATACTGTTTTTAACTTCCTGAAATTACTTTTTATGAAGATAGTTTTTACAAACTAAAGATTGATAAAATGTTTTAGTATATAAACAAAGTAGTTTTTACAACTACCTTTTCTGGAAAGTCATGAAAATTGGTAGTTTGTTGAAATTTCTTATCAAAATGGAAGAGGTAGTTTAAAGACAAACTCAAGGCCAGGTACGGTGGCTCATGCCTGTAATCCCAGGACTTTGGGAGGCCAAGGCAGGTGGATCACCTGAGGTCAGGAGTTCAAGACCAGCGTGGCCAACATGGTGAAACTCCATCTCTACTAAGAATATAAAAATTAGCTGGGCGTGGTGGCACACGCCTGTGGTTCCAGCTACTCGGGAGGCTGAGGCAAGAGAATTGCTTGAACCCGGGAGGCGGAGGTTGCAGTGAAC